TGGGCGGAGAATGGACTGAGAGCAGCCCTGAGAAGGACTTGGGGGTGCCGGTTGACAAGCAGCTCAACATGGCCTGGCAATGTGAGCTTGCAGCCCAGAAGGCCAACCATATCCTGGGCTGCATCAAGAGAAGCATGGCCAGCAGGGCGAGGGAGGGGATTCTGCCCTACTGCTCCACTCTGGTAAGACCCCATTGGGAGTACTGTGTCCAGCTCTGGGGCTCCCAGCACAGGAAAGACATGGAGCTGTTGGAGCGGGTCCAGAGGAGGCCACAGAAATGATCCGAGGGCTGGAGAACCTCTCCTATGAGGAAAGGCTGAGACAGTTGGGGCTGCTCAGCCTCGAGAAGAGAAGGCTTTGGGGAGACCTTAGAGCAGTCTTCCAGTGCCTGAAGGGGCCTACAAGAAAGCTGGAGAGGGACTTTTTACAAGGGCATGGAGTGACAGGACAAGGGGGAATGGCTTTAAACTGAAAGAGGATAGATTTAGATTAGATATAAGAAAGAAATTCTGTGAGGGTGGTGAGGCACTGGACCAGGTTTCCCAGAGAAGCGGTGGCTGCCCCCTCCCTGGCAGTGTTCAAGGACACTTTGGATGGGGCTTTGAGCAACCTGGTCTAGTGGAAGGTGTCCCTGCCCACGACAGGGGGCGTTGGAACTAGTTGATTGATAAGGTCCCTTCCAACCCAAACCATTCTATGCTGAGAAAGCTTGCAGTGACTTGAAGATTAGAGCACATGACAGCTTCCACCCTGGACAGCCTTCCAGCTTTCTGTTCTCTCTTCCTAAGGATACACTGAGAAAGTATCAAAAAAAAAAAAAAGGCAGCGGCATCAGACAAAGTGGTTATTCTGTACTTTTCCAGCCCTCAGCAGTCAGTAACCTTCCTGTTTGCACCAATACAACCCCCAAGCCGTCAGTGAGAGGCATGATTCGCACAAGCAAATTCACTCATTTCCTAAGAGAGGGCAAAATTCAGTGCATGACCTCAACTCCTTTCTCCTAGCCACAAGTTAGCCCAGTATGTCAGATTCACCTCAGTGTGATTCCAGGGACTTGTCTGGAATCAATTTGACTCTTTGATTGCATCAGGCCTTTCAGAAGTTTTGAACAACAAGGATCTAAACAGCAGGCAGCAATCTGCACAAAAACAGTCTTTGCAGTTTAAGGAATTTTTAAAGGTCTGTTTCTTTATTCTTTCTTCTTTCTTTTTTTTTTTTTTTTTTTGTTTCAAATGCTTTCCAGCTGAGCAAATGCTGCAGCGGGTTCATGGGAGAAGGCCTTGAGGCACCCCTGACTTTGGCACTGTTATCTCATAGACACTCCATACATTTTTGGCACCTTGCAGCAGACACATTGACAGCCACAGGATTGATGGAAAAGGAAAGAAGCTGTTTTGCAGTCAAAAGAGAATGTACTTGGATCTCTAAGGCCATTTGAAAGAATGCCAGAATAATACTGGGTTTCGGCATTCTTAAGCTCCTTAAGATGATGCAGCAAGTGGTCTTTTCCACATGTGATGATGTATTTCAGGACAAGAGTTTCTTCAAGATTTTCCAAGCCTGTGGGCTCCTGAACCTTTTTCAAGTTACAGAGATGATAGCATACCAGGGAGAATTGTGATTAGTTTAAACTCTCCACAGCTGCGAGAGACGAATGTAAAAATTCCACCAAAAAATCTACTTCTTCTGGATTGAATTTACCTACATGACACCGAGTCCTGACCAAGGGACCACTTAAAAGAGCTGGAGCCGCATCAACACTATTTAGTTTCTTCCATCACATCAACCTGGGGAAGGCTCACAACTGTTCTGCCCAACGCATCTCCCCCAGCAGCACTGCCATGATGCAGGCTGGGGTATTAACGAAGCCCTGAGATGCGTGGGTAGGAAAATGGAACGATGAAATAAAAGCTTAAGTACGAGGGAATTCAAACAGGGCTTGCAACTCATTACTTGGAATACCAAGAGAATTGTAAAACACCTTGTAACCGAGAGGCTTTGCTTGGAGCTGTTAAGGACTGCAGCCCCCACTTCATCACGGGCTGACAAATTTTGAACAGTCTTGGCAACGGGGGGGGCAAGCACTGAGCTTTCTGTCCCAGCTGACCTGAGGAGATGGCAATGCTTTGGTTTGCTTAACAGGACCTCTCTCTCTCTAAATTGCTTCCTTGGGTTTCTAATTTAATATAATCATAGAATCATAGAATGCTTTGGGTTGGAAGGGACCTTTAGAGGTCATCTAGTTGAATCCCCCTGCAGTGAGAAGGGACATCTGCAACTAGACGAGGTTGCTCAGAGCCCAATCCAACCTGGCCTTG